GGGGGGCAGGTTTTCCTGGTGCCCACCCAAACAGAGCTCCATGAAGCCATTTGCTCCCACAATCCAAAATCATCCCCATGCCCCTAGCCAGATTTCAGTCTTGGGATGGACCTTACTAAGATATTAATCTACTGAAAATTTGGGTGTGCGTGTTTTGTGATTGAAATATCCAGGCTTTCTTAGGGTCAGTATGATATACCTACCACCACCTCCCTGTACCTCCAGAAGCTCTGGAAGTCACATCTGCATTCTAAAGCTGCCACCCAATTTAAAAAAGCTATTCCAGATATACTGTCCCAAGAAAGATACTGAAATCCCTGAAGAAACCAGATGACCTCCTGGAACCTGTATTACAAATCATAATGTACCAAAGGAGAGAGAGGAGAGAGAGAGAGAGAGAGAAAGACAGAAAGAGAGAGAGAAAGAAAGAAAGAGAGAGAGAGAAAGAAAGAATAAAGGTCCCTATCATGAAGGCACGAGGGGTGAGGGCAGCTTGGGGGCTAGTGAGAGGGAAACTGGGGACATTGGTTGTGGGAAATATTCACTGATGAAGGGATGGCTGTTGGAATATTGTATGACTGAAACCCAATCGTGAACAACTTTGCAGTGGTCTATCTCATGGTGACTCAATTTAAAAAAAAAGAAAAGAAAATACCTCAGAATCAGCTCAATTAAATAGATGCAAGACCTATACAAAGTAAAATACAATACACAACTTAAGAAATAAAGGAGGCCTGAAATGAAAACACATACATGCTCATGGTTTGGGAGTATAAATATCATCAAAATGGCAACACCCACTAAAGCATTGTATAGAATTCATTGAGGTCCCTGTAAAGGTATTCATGATATTTTTCAAAGAAATAAAACACCTCTGAAATACATATGGAAAAATAACTATCTTCACAAAATAGCTAAAGAAATCCTTGGGGAAAAAAAGATGGGAAGTATCACATTCCCCAACTTTAAACTGTACTACAAACCGGTAGCATGGTACTGGAATAAAGGTAGACTCTCAGACCAATGAAATACAGTTGAATATTCTGAGACAGACCTTCAGGTATATTATCAGTTAATCTTTTATAAAGGAGCAAGAAATATGTAGTGGAGCAAGGAAAACTTCAACAAGGGATGCTTGGAGAAGAACTGGTTAGCTATACATAAAAATGTTAAATTAGAAATCTTTCTAATGCCATGAACAAAAGTCAAAATCAAAATGGATTCAAACCCTTTATATCAGATTTGAATCAATAAGGTACTTAGAGGTAAACATAGGCAGATGTCTCCATGACATTGAAGCTAAAGACATCTTCAAATACAAAACACCACTGACCAAGCAAGTATAAACATACAAAGATAAATAAATGGAATTACTTAAATTAAGAAACCTCAAAGAAAACAATGACTTGGATGCAAAGAAAACGTATGGAATGGAAGAAATTATTTACCCACTGTTCATCTGATAAGGGATTAGTATCTAAATGTATAATGCACTGCTAGAACTTTTAAGAACAAGATATGCAAACCCATCAAAAAATGGGGACAAGAGATGAACAGAAACTTCCTCAAAGAAGAAATATAAATGGCCCAGAAGCACATAAAAAATTATCTCCATCACTCATCATGAGGAAGATGCAAATCAAAACATCAATGAGATATCATTACAGTCCACAAAGACTGACACACATCAGAAAACAAAACAAAATCCCAAACCAAGAACAACCAGTGCTGGTGTAAATGTGGGAAGAAAGGGACTTACATTCATTGCTTATGGGACTTCTGACTGATCCAGACTTTCTGGAAAACAAAATAAACATTCTTAAAAAAGTAATAAAAGAATTAAGTTTCCATTTGACCCAGCAACTCCACTACTGTGAATACACCTCAAGGTCCCAAAAACAAAATAGAGAAAAGATATCTGTGCTCCTTGATTCCTTGCAGAGAAGGAACTTCCACAAGAGACAACATACTAAACAACCCACGTTCCGAAGAATGGATGATTGGATAAAGAAACTATGGCACATATACACAATGGAATGTTACTCAGTCATAGTAAAAGATAAAGTCATGAAATTTGCTGCTAGATGGAGTGGCCTAGATCATATTACATTGAGTTGAGTTGAGGTAAGAGGGAGAGAGACTGACACATAAAGATCTCATATGTGGTGCATAAAAAAACATAGCAGTAGAATATTGAATACCCAATGGCAATGGAAACAAAGAACATGAGAACTGATATTCTATAGGAAGTATGCTAATGGAGGGGGCTGGAGGATAGGACAGGAAGGAGGCAACATCTATGATGAAGGGAAGCATTCAACTGGAAAGAGAAGGCGGTGCTGAAAAGTGGCAAAATTGTTATGTAGAAAACCCTATAAACAACTGTCAACCCGTTGTTTGTCAATTTACTCGAGTGGGTGCCAGTAACATCTCTATTCCTCCCAGCCCTGAGATTTTAGCAGCCTCTTCTTATTTGTCTTTTCCCTACAATAGGAGGCTCTTTCAGGTTCAGGGGAAAGAGACCTGTTGTCATTACTGCTCTTGGCATATCGAATACTCCACAGGGAGCTTGCCAAGGTCTGACTGTGCAGGCGGGATATTCTTGGTAGCTTGCCGGGCTCTCCAAGAGGCATATATTTATATATTTCTTTCTATGATTCGTTGCCTACTGCCTGGACCCCATCAAGTATGGTGTGGCAATTATGGAAAAATAGGTCAGAAGTGTCTTATGATATGTCCATAAAGTGGCCTGGAGCATGGCAGCAGTTGGGTAGTGGAGGTGGGCTGCTGGGGCTGGGTCCCTTGGAGCACGGAGGGCTCTACTCTGGGGGTGCCCTAAGTGAAAACAGCCTGGCGCAGAGTCCCATACACACACACACACACACACACACACACACACATATAAATATGGGCTGGAGCGATAGCACAGCAGGTAGGGCAATTGCCTTGCATGTAACTGACCCGGGTTTGATTCCTCCACCCCTCTCAGAGAGCCTGGCAAGCTACCGAGAGTTATCTTGCCCCCAGGGCAAAGCCTGGCAAGCTACCAGTGATGTATTCGATAGGCCAAAAACAGTGACAACAAGTCTCACAATTTGTCATGAGACATTACTGGTGCCCGCTCAAGCAAATTGATGAACAATGGGAGGACAGTGTTACAGTGTTTTATATTGATCCATTGGTGGAAGGAAATGGATGACACTGGTGAAGGGATTGTTATTGAATAATTGTGTATGCCTATAACACAATCACGAATAACTTTGTAACTTCATGGTGATTAATTTTTTTTAAAAAATCATATTACCAAAAAAATAAGCAATTGTCTTATCTTAAGTCAATTGCCTACTCCATTACCCACTAACTATAGTCAGAGAGATTCTGCCAACATAATCAGAGTACTGCTATAAGACTTACCTTCTTTTTACAAACATTCTGAGGAAGCTAAAATTAAATCACTATCTAGACATTTAAGAGCATGTATTAAAAGATACATTTGGAATATTCTGGTTGAAAACAAGAAAAGAGTCTTTTTAACAGGACACTCTAAATCCTTATAATTTAAACAAGAACATCAACTAGAAACTCTCACCATTTAGCATAAAACCAACTTCCTTTTGCCGCATAATCATTTCTTCAAACAGTAAAGGATACAAAAGAAACATAAAGAGCACTAAGTTTGCAGCAACTTTAGATAATATATGATATTCCAGGAAATTGGAGAAAAATCACATAGCAATTAGAGAAAGTTAGTGATAAGTTTAAATATAATCTTTCTATCATAATCCTCTAGTGAAAAAAGAGAATGTGCAGGTTGGGGCTGAGACATAAGAAATGTGGATGGCAGATACATATTTCTGTAAATTGTTAAGAGTTAAGGGTATAATTTAATGTTAGGGGACCCCCATGTGTCTCAGCTGGAAACATGCAGGTGGGCTGAAAGGAAGTCCTGCCAGTGTAAAGTGTAGTGGGGGAAGAGCAGAGACCACAGTGTGTTTCCAGAGGATGACACAAAGTCATCCGGTAGAAGCTGATATTCAGGGGATTGCAAGCAGGCATCAAATATAAGATGCAACAGGACATCAGGGGATTAACTCTAGCAAAAGCCAGGATAAAACCGAGTCAACAGGAAAATACTGCAAAGCCTTGTCGAAGCAATCACCTCAGATTTTCTGTGCCAAAAAAAGAGAGATATATTTTTATCAGCATAAGCACAGACCTGTTGTATCCCCTACACTGGTGTTAAATTTCTCTTAAATCTGGATATAATACCAGTATGTGAGACAAGTGGACCAGCTCCTTGAGCTGACTGTTAAATTTATGTGACTAATAATTATGGAAATAGTGTTAATTTCACTGAAAGCATCAGATTAGCTTTTTTGCTTCAGACAAACCGGAGCTTAGAATCAAAGTGAAATCAGTCATAGAAGTAAAGTAGTTTTGGGAAGTTTGAAATATTATATCTTTTGAATGTTTTATCTTTCAATTTTGGACTAAAAGAGCAAAAGACAATTTTCTGGGTATTATGTCATTAGTTAAATAGATATATAACTACAATCCACTAGGAGTGGAAATGTTAATATTTTTTGCTATACAAACACTAACATAATAAATGCTTTTTTTTTGGCTTTTTGGCTCACACCCAGTGATGCATAGGGTTTACTCCTGACTTTGCACTCAGGAATTCCTCCTGATGGTGCTCAGGGGACCATATGGGATGCTGAGAATTGAACCTGGGTCAGCAGTGTGCAAGTCAAACACCCTACCTGCTGCACTAATGCTCCAGCAACAAAATAACAAATTCTTAAGAAAAAATATTTAAAAGTTAATTAGTAATAGTTATAAATGGTTTTAAAAATGTGGCAGAAAGACAAATTCATCAACCACTGATGTTTATCCTTTCTTTTGATTTTTTTCCCTTTGTCATTTATAGAGTGAAGCGAGGGCCTCACAGCGCAAGGCAACTGGGCCACATCCCCAACCCTCACACACAACTCTTATTTTTCATTGTTGTAGATGTCGCAAATTTGAGTGTTATTCTTGCTCTGGGGCCATCCTAATATTCTCTGTATCTTTCTAGTTTTACTATGTGTGCAGCAAAAGCAAAAATCAAAAACAACTTTTTAAATTATCTTTTTAAGTATGTGCTATTATCCTGCATCATAAAAACAAACAAACAAAAAAATTGAAAACCACATTTCTCACATTTCTTTTTTGCAGTTTAGATTCCAGATTATGCTCTGCCTATCATGTGTGGCCCTCTGAACTTGGACTTGAAAACTGAAATCAAATTTCACTGGAAATCTTACCAAGTGCAAGACACTTATTTTCACTTTTGCATTTGTCTGGAACCAATACTTTTAGAAACAACTTCCTCATCCTGAATGATATTGGAGCTGGTATTTTTCTGAAGTCAACAGTTATGGTAGCACCTTCACAATCCAGGAAAAATAGTGATTGTGGAGTTATCATATAGGCAGTGGTGGGGAATGTGCCAGGTTTCTAACTATAATAAGGACAAGGACTTTATAAGGTGAATTACATGATGTTGTTTAGTGCATCAGTTCTAGAAGTCTATCATAAATATTGTTACTCCAATTTTCCCCCCATAGGCAAGCAATGAAAGTTGCCATTTTACTGAAAATGATTTGAGTTTTCTTGTTATATGCAACTTTATGATAACAAAACCAAGCAATAATAAATAGTAATGAGGCCAGAGATACATTTTTATAGAATAGAGCATTGTATAAGGATGCAGGTGATTGTTTAAGTTGATAAAACTTTAGAGATTCCTCTCAAACTTTATTTTTAAAGTTTTCATATAGAAAATCTATCTTAAAAAAAATCTAAGATAGAGCTGGAGAGATAGTACAAGTAGTAAGGTACTTGCTTTTCATACCAGGGATGACAACACATAATAGTCCCCTGAGAAACACTAGTGGTCACTCAATCACAGAAATAGAACTAGCCCTTGAGAACTACCACATGTGACCCAAACCACTCAGTAAAGATGCCAAAATAGTATATGATCACTACCATAAAAATTTTTATTGATATAGGGAAAGGTAAATAAGCCCAAGGAATACTAATTCAAATGTCTAGAAGTTAAGAAAGAAGTTCTTGTGAATGTTTATCAATTTAACAAATATTTAATTGTATAATACAAACTCCCTGTGGCATGTTCGATCTGCCAAAAATTGTAACAACTCTTACAATGGAGACGTTACTGGTTCCCACTCAGGAAAATCAATAAACAATGGGAGGACATGTGACAGTGTTATAATACAAATACAGTACTGTTCTTCAATGGTTAGGGAGATAGCTTAAAGTCTGAAGTGTATATTTTGATGTGTTAGGTCCTGAATTTTGTCCCTAACACCAAACTTCTGTGCCCTTCCCATCCCCAAATAACCGCAGCACCAGCAATAGCCCTGGTGGTATATAGTTCTGCTTTGCATACCATGGTTCAAATCTCTGGTATCACATAATGTGCCTCTGAGAATCACCAGTGATCACCCAAGCATAGAGCTAGGAATAGCCCCTGAATATTACGGGCAGTAAACCTCTGCCCTCAACTCTCCCCCCAATATACAGACAAAAAAAGTTCTACAACATAATAACTAATGAATAAAAAAGGGATAAATGTGCAAGAGCTTATGTGAGTTATATTCTGGAGAGGGACTAGCATAATGTGCTTTCTAAATAAAGGAGGAATAAAGGAAAGTGAATTTTTTCCTTATTCTATATTCATAATGATTTAAGTTTTTAACAGGGAAAAACAGCTTAGGCATTAGTTTCTGACATGAACAGGCTGAAAAGTTGAGGGATATTGAAACAGTGGTGGATATACTGATATTATAATACTGAAACTATTAAATAGTAACTTAAATACTAGCCCAAACCATGGTGACTAAATTACAAAAGAAGAGTGTTTGCCTTGCACACGGATGACCCAGATTCAATTCCTCTATCCCTATCAGAGAGCCTGACAAGCAACCAAGAGTATCCTGCCCACCGGTAGAGCCTGGCAAACTCCACGTGGAATATTCGATATGCCAAAAACAGTTAACAACAAGTCTCACAAAGGAGACGTTACTGGTGCCCGCTTGAGCAAACTGATGAACAACGGGAGGACAGTGCTACAGTGCATGGTGGATAGACTAAAGAAAAGTTTAACTGTTAATTATGCAATCACATTTGTTAATATGAAGATATATTCAAATTATACATATATATTATTAATTTTATTGAATCACCATGAGATAGTTATAAGCTTTCATGTTTGGGTTACAATCACACAATGATCAAACACCCATCCCTCCACCAGTGCACATTCCCCACCACCAATATCCCCATCATAACCCCCCTTTCCCACCTTCTCTCTGCCTCCATGGCAGATATGATTCCCCACAATATCTCTCTACTTTTGGGCATTATCATTTGAAATACAGACCCTGAGAGGTTATCATGTTTGGTCCTATATTTACTTTCTGCACACATCTCCCATCCTGACCAATTCCTCCAGCCATCTTTTTCTTAGTGATCCCTTCTCTATTCCAGCTGCCTTCTCCCCTTTGCTCATGAGGCAGTCTTCCATCTATGGAGCAATCTATCTGTCCTGTGTATCTACTGTCCTTAGGAGTCAGCCTCATATTAAGTTGTTTTATACTCCACAAATGAGTTCAGTCCTTCTATGTCTGTCTCTCTCTTTCTGACTCATTTCACTTAGCATGATACTCTCCATGTCTATCCATTTATAAGCAAAGTTCATGAATTCATCTCTCCTGACAGCTGCATAGTATTCCATTGTGTAGATGTACCAAAGTTTCTTTAACTAGTCATCTGTTCTAGGGCACTTGGGTTGTTTCTAGATTTTGACTATTGTGAACAGTGCTGCAATGAACATATAGGTACAGATGTCATTTCTACTGTTCTTTTTTGTATCCTCAGGATATGTTCCGAGAAGTGGTATTGCAGGGTCATATGGAAGCTCAATTTCTAGTTTTTGAAGGACTGTCCATATTGTTTTCCAGAAAGGCTGGACTAATGGGCATTCCCACCAACAATAAAAGTGTCCATTTTTCCCCACATCCACAACAGCACTGGTTGCTTTTTTTCCTTTGAATGTGTGCCAGTCTCTGTGGTGTGAGATGATATCTCATTGTTGTTTTGATTTGCATCTTCCACATGGCTAGTGATGTGAAACATTTTTTCATGTGCCTTTTGGCCATTTGTATTTTTTTTTTATTTTTTGCTTTTCGGGTCACACCCAGCAATGCACAGGGCTTACTCCTGGCTCTGCACTCAGGAATTACCCCTAGCAGTGCTTAGGGGATGATGTGGGATGTTGGGAATGGAACCCAGGTTGGCCGCGTGCAAGGCAAACGCCCTACCCGCTGTGCTATTGTTCCAGCCCCTGTATTTCTTTTTTGAAGAAACTTCTGTACATTTCTTCTCCTCATTTTTTGATGAGGTTGGAGGTTTTTTTCTTGTACAATTCTACTAGTGTCTTATATATCCTGGATATTAATCCCTTATGAGATGGGTATTGGGTAAATATTCTTTCCCATTCTGTGGGCTCTTTCTATATTCAGGTCACTGTTTCTTTTGAAGTTCAGAAGCTTCTTAGTTTGGTGTAGTCCCATTTGTTTATGTTTGCTTCTATTTGTATGGTCAGTGCTGTTTCATTCTTAAAGATGTTTTTAGTTTCAATGCTGTGGAGAGCACTGCCTACATTTTCTTCTATGTACCTTATGGATTCATGTCTGATATTGAGGTCTTTAATCCACTTTGATCTGACTTTTGTGCCTGGCATTAGAGAGAGGTCAGAGTTCATTTTTTTGCAGGTAGTTATCCAGTTTTCCAAGCACCTCTTGTTGAAGAGGCTTTCCTTGTTCTACTTAACATTTCTTGCTCCTTTGTCAAAGATTAAGTGGTTAAATATTTCGGGGTCGATGACAGAATATTCGACTCTGTTTCATTGGTCTGCAGGTCTTTTTCTAGCCCAGTACCATGCTGTCTTAATTACTACTGCATTGAAGTTGGGGAGTGTGATGCCACCAATCTTCTTTTTCCCAAGGATTGTTTTTTTTTTAGATTTACTATTTATTGTGCTTGGGTTTCGATTATACAATGATCAGATATCCATCCCTCCACCAGTGCCCATTTTCCATCACCATGGATAATATCCCCCGACCACCATCCCTCCACTCCCCCTGCCTCTGTGGCAGGGCAATCCCCTGTGTTCTCTCTCTCCTTTTGGGTGTTGTGGTCTGCAAAAGAGGCATTGAGTGGCAAACATGTTCAGTCCATAGTCTACTTTCGACATGCATCTCCCCTCCTGGGAGGATCCTCCAAACACCCTTTCTTTGGTGTTCCCTTCTCTATCTGAACTGCCCTTTCCCTTAGAATACCCCGCTGGCCTCTAAGTTATGGAGTAATCCTCCTGGTGTTGATCTCAGCTATTCTTGGGTATTAATCTCATATTTTGTTACTTTATATCCACCAGATGAATGCAGTCTTTCTATGTCTATCCCTCTCTTTCTGACTCATTTCGCTTACATGATACTTTCCATGTTGTACCACTTGTATGTAAATTTCATGACTTCATCTTTTCTAACAGCTACATAGTACTCCATTGTGTAGATGTACCAAAGTTTCTTTAACCAGTCATCTGTTTTTGGGCATTCAGGTTTCTTCCAGTTTCTGGCTATTGTAAAGAGTGCTGCAATGAACAAGCAAGTGCAGATGTCACTTTGACTATACATTTTTGCCTCTGGGATATATTCCCAGGAGTGGTATTGCTGGGTCAAATGGGAGCTCAATTTCTAATTTTTTTAGAATTGTCCATACTGTTTTCCAGAAGGGCTGAACCAGTCGACATTCCCACCAACAGTGAAGGAGTGTCCCTTTCTCACCACATCCGCGCCAGCATCGGTTGCTTTTGTTCTTTTGAATGTGGGCCAGTCTCTGAGGTGTGAGATGGTATCTCATTGTGGTTTTGATCTGCATCTCCCTAATGATTAATGATGTAGATCATTTTCTCATGTGCTTTTTTGCCATTCGGATTTCTTCTTTGAGAAAGTTTCTGTTCATTTCATTGCCCC